AGTATCCTGTCTACACTCATAAACCACCTCGCTTCAAAACATCCTTGGTAATTCGATTCTCTCTTTTTTTCTAACTTTACGATATTCCGCCGCGTTAAAGCGAGAATATTGAAATGTCAAGGAATAAACCGACTAACATTGCAGATCGCCGAGAGATGACAAACGACCTCTCGGACGACCATCCGATAACGCGCCTGTTTTCAAATGACTTATATCGCCGGCGATTGTGTGAAAATTTCGCGCGCGGCGGATCCGAAGGTGAACGACTGAAAAAAGGCGTGACGACGGGGAACGCGAACCGGACCTATCGTCAGTGCGCGCAAACTAACATCCGAAATAAATAACGTTCTCCTGTGCGGCCAGAACCAGTCGGCGAGTGCCGAGACGTGTGACATTCCGGAAAATTACCGATCCAGCTTCCCGAACCCAACCGTGCAATATTCTACGTAAAAGTATGTCGATCGGATAAACCGCGTTTATTGATACGTCGGACGCGGCGGAATTCAAATATATATAATATGTTAATAGCCACCTCGATATTATCGAGAACTGAAAATCGAAACTGTAGAATTTTACATTTGCTATTTACAACTCTCTTACACTCATGACTTATACGCATGTTGGCTCTTCTCTTTTACAATTTAATTTTTATAGTTTTATTTTTATAATTTTATCTTAATTACTTAATCTCGATTTGTTTGGATACTTTACTTACAATTTTTGACGTTATTACATTCTGTTTTAATGTGTTCATTTTATTTTAATGCTGGGCATAGTCTAATTATCTCACCAAATACTTTTTTCCAATCTATTCTGTCCCTCCTTTGTACACTAAAAGGTTTATCCCGTGAATAAAGATTTATTTATTTATTTTCGTTTCGATTGTGAACCCAGAAATAATAAAACGGGATCGTCGACGTAGGACGCTCCGAAGTATTGCTTAAAAAAACGTGAAGTAACGTTTTGAAAGATTTCAGTTGCTTCATTTCGATCGCTTTATATTTTCATGAAAGAGAAGAAAGCAAAGATCGTTACTTTAACGTGATAGAACACTCCACGTGTGATACGAAAGATCTTTTGTTTCCATTATAAAGCGCGTGCCTCGTGTTCCGAAATTGACAAAATATCGTGAGAAGCCTTCAGCAAAAATTTCTACTTCTGCATTTCATTTCGGGAAATAAAATCTCCCTGTGACTGATACGCATTTTAAACAGTCGGGTATGTATAAATATTTCTAACGAATGGGTTACCGACACACAAGGTGTTGTGGCAACATGACAAATCGAAATATGAAGCACGCACTTTGTAATGGAAACAAAAGATATTTCGTATCAAATATGGAGTATTCTATTACGTTAAAGTAAATATCTTCGCTTTCTTCTCTCTTATAAAATCATTTATAAGATTCTTATTTAAACGATCCAATATATATTTTCACATATTCTCCTTTCGTTAAAATATCAAATCTTTATTTCTGGGACTAAACATGTATCCAGACTCCAGTTTCTTAAATCGCTTTCGACGACGTACGTTAAAAATACATCTATTTAAGTATTTGCTAAAAGAATCATCGCGTATGTGTTTAATTAACTTTGGCAGATTTGTATTATTCCCCGGTAATGTTTTATATCTTCCCAAAATGGAATGAACGTTCAAGTGCTTCGTGATTTGAAAATTCGAGATATCGAAATCGAGTTCCTACGTGCTCGTTAACGTTGCTCTCGCGCGATTATCGAATACACGGTCGAGCGGAACTGCCGGTGTATTGAGGAATTCCGCTGGACTTTTCCATCAACCCACAGAGAGGTCCTTCGAGGCGAGAACGAAAGGCTAGCCGGGCAGCGACGGGGTCCAGACCCTGCGCTGCGCGAGATGAAAGCGCGCGCGCTTCGGCGCACGGAGTCTGCGCGAAGCGAAAGAACTCACCTTTCGGGGTTGACACGCGCACTTCCGCCGCCGACGCGAACAACGGAAACCGCGTGCCGGAAACCGCGTGACCGGAGCGAGCGCGGATACGAGAAGCGGAAATTACGTGCACGCGCACGGCGCGAAGAGGAGGCGCGGATGCGGCGCGATGCGGCGCGGTTGTATACGCGGTACGTTTACACGCGGCGCGCAACAACGTGCCTTACCTCGAGAGCGGCCGTCGCGACACTGAACGTGCCGCAGACACCTGTCGCCGTCGACCGACGGTGCCGCCGCCGCGCGGTCGAGCCCCTCTCTCGTTCACGTGCTCCGCATCCCGAAACTGCTGTTCGATTTCAACGTAAATCTACGTGAAACCACAAATCCATCCATTTTTCTATCGTAATTTATCGTCTTTAACGAAATGTCAAATGGTCCAAGAATTATCCAATTGTTCGATAAACATTATGTGACTGTAGTCGTTTCCAAAAAGATGTTACTTTTGTTTTAAACAACAATTATAAATCAATGCTTCGCACTCTAATTTCCCTCTTCTTTTAACACAAAGTATAGATTTAATACCTTTGATTTTTTTTTATTAACATGGTAATGAATCCTGTTATTCTAATTCACTTATTTTGTTGTCAAAAAACGAATATTTTTAAACAACGATAGAGAGCGATGTTTAGCATTTTTATTTGGGTTTGTTATTTTGTCTTTTTTTTAAACGCAAAACACAAATTTTGAACCTATAATTTCTCTATTAGTATGATAATGAATTCTATTATTCTAATTCGCTTATTTTGTTTTACAAAAGAGTTTTTTGTTTTAGGTAGAATTTGTACCAAAATATTTAGTAAACAATAGAGATAAAATCAAACATGTAGATGTCACATTGCTGATGAGGGTCACATACGTAGACCGAAACGGTCAATTGTTAATTTATATCTACCATCTGTTCTAATACATATTATTTTAAATCTTTTCGTATTTGTTTTTATCACCGTAGACCGTAGGTGACGGCTCGCATTGCCTGTAACCTTTCGATTTAACATCGTCCTTTGAATTCATTTATGTTTAGAAAATGTAGCGAATTATTTTATTAATAATCGCTAAACTGAAAAAAGAGAACTATCTAAAATTTGTCAATAAAATAAATAATTTAAACTCTCGATGTTATTAACATAACTACAGGGCAGTGAAAGTGTAACGCGGTTGTTGTTGCATGAAACAAAATATATTTAAACGAAATTGCAATTCCACGAGTTAACGTTTCGGCTCCGGTTGTGTTTAAATTGAACTTTGTTTTACAAAACAACAACCTCGTTACACTCTCACTGTCCCACTGTATTTATGTTTCAAATATCGTACGATCAGAGAACAAAGCAAGCTGAGATGATAATTGTACGATGAAAAAGATAATCAGCCAATACAAGGTGAAAAATACGGAAATATAAGCGCAGCTGTACATATCGTCACCTGCATACTGCAACGAGTCCCCACAGGGATCTCAAACGGCAGAAAAGGGGATGCTGAGCCCATAGAAACGTGATGGAGGGGTTCATTGTGCGGGAGGGTGCTAGCGTGCCACTCACAATAGTAGTTCGCACAATAGCGTAAAAATATAAGTGACATCTGCATAATTTTGAGCAAAGTGATCAATTACGAAAGCTTTTATTTCTCGTATCAAGAAATACTCATTAATACCTTTGACTCGCAAAATCTCTCTAAAAACCGAACTTAATTGACAGCCTCGATAAAAAATACTGACTTAATAAATGTTGCATATTTGTATGTGTGCATGCATAATTTAATTAAATTAGTCTCCATCAGAGCGCGAAAAAGTTTGTGTAGAACTTTCGAGTTGATAAATAATAAATGAATATCAAATTTGTATATAAATTGCTTTATATAATTGAAAATATTTCAAAAAAGAAGTCGTAGCGTTTTCAATTTTAGTAAAATAATATAAGAGAGGGGAATGCAGTTTAATAATGCATCTGTCATCGGTATATCTGTATTACATAAATTCTATATCAATTTTACGTTGCAATGTAAATTGCGATTTAGGTGAATGTCTTTTTGAATTTTTTAATAATATTGTAGCACAGTATACAGATTATTGTTGATAAAAGACATTGCATATTATAGAAATAATTTTTAATAGTGTTTAACGGATATAATAGTTTTCTTTATTCGTGACAAAAATTAATAAAATTAGAATTGATAAAAATTGCGACAATGTCATAGTGAGTGATTGTTAACCGGGACTCAATATACGAAGTGTAGGGGGGAAAACACTCAAGCAAGCAAGGTTCCCTTTGTTTGGTACTGTTTCGTGCGCAATATAAAAAAAAATGCAGAAGGGTAGCGCAAAAGGAGCTCTCTTCGTGCATCCCTCACGAGAAACAATAATGTCGCGCGCATTTCCACTCCTCTTGATCTCGTCTGCCCTCTCGTAGGCCTTTGTTAAGAGACTTTCTCGATAGTCATACCGAGGCTCTCCATCGTTTATGTACGACTACGGAGAATCGCACGCCAAAACGAGAGTATTGAAACAGTAAATACAAATGCATAATTTAAAAAGAGGAATACAAAGCGGGTTTTTCGCATTTGTCTGCCCGCGAAATCGCCAGTAAATTTATTCCACCTATCCAAGAATTATTCACCGAGAACCTTTTAACAACAAACTTCGATATATTTTACTCGGTGTTTAGTTTTAAAGAACTTAAGCGTGAAATGAACAGATTAAAAAATTTTAACAATTATGTAAAAAAAACGGTGAATTAAAAAAAGAAAAATAATAGACTCTCCACTAAATATTACTCCTTCTTTTATTATTTATATTACAATATAATATGTACAAGACTTAAATAAGTTTTTATTAAATTTGCTTCTTCAATTTGATATTTCATTTATATCTCCAAAAATTTTGTTAGATTTACTTTCACATTTGTTTCGTTTCTTGCTTATATACAGATCATCAATTATTATAATAGCAAATATCAATATATATTTAGTATCTCGTCATACGAACTAACCAAGAAAAACTTCTGACACATTAACATGCAATACAAATTTATAACGAAACTCACCGGAATGTAACCATCGGGTTGCATCCTTTTATCATCTCTGAAAAAAAGAAAATTATGAGATACAACATTGATTTACACAATTGTCAGATTGTGTATGTGTGTGTTTGTGTCTTTATATATGTATGCAATTTACAAATATTTGCTAAACCAAAGTTCACGTATGTTTGTATGAAACATACCGATTTCTTCGTTGAATCACTGGCGTTTGTGGCGTGCTGTCGTGAATAATCACCTGAGTTGCATCTATTTCTTCACATTCCGAACTATCTTCGGACGGGTCTGCAATAATACACACAATATATGTACATACATATATTTACATTAAAATATTTTTAAAAAATAGGCCGGTATTCACAATCCGTCCTTATTTCAAAATCATCTTAAGTAACGTCTTAAGGTACTATATGTATAATACGGCTCTGTGATTAATTTGAAATACATTAGAACTCAAGATAAAGATAAGAACGGACTGTGAATTCCGACTCAAAACTGGCGCTAAGGAGAACCGTGTAGAACAGATGGTGCCACTTCAAACGACAACACTTGTTGACGATCACTTGTGCTGTTTGCCTTTTGGAGTAAGACTGATCAAAACATTCTTTCAATCTGTGAAGTCGAACAGTTTAACGATTTTCACCTTGCGACAGTGTGGCTGAGATTCTCATAATGCACATAACGTCCGAAATATCGCGAGCGCTTCATCGTGCGCGAGATCCCGGTAATAGTTTTCGCAATAAATTTTCTGTAGTATTAAAAATGCCAGGTGTACGGTCAAGAAAACACTGACGTTATTTACCACTGGCGACATTGACGAATATTCTGATCAGTTAGAATTAAGCTACAGAAATTGCATTGGTGCAACCAAGCCTTATCCCCTTCATTCTGCCGCATGATACCGAAGCCGGTTTCTGGCATCACTGGCCCCAATTTTCAAAGGAATGCACGGGGCAGGATATTCTCGGTGGAGAGAACTCGGCGAATATTACATTGTTCCGTGAACACGGTATCTAATTGCAGAAAGCATTGCTACTCTAAATTCGAGATATTAAACACGCCATACTCCGCAGATATTCTCGCTTCCCAGCGATGTATCGAACTCTATTTTTTGTCCGTCAATTTTAAAAGAGGAAATATTACACGGTAAATTTAGCCGGATCCACTTTGTTGAGCGGTTCGATACATCGGATAATCCGACTGATACTATGTAAACTAGGTGCGATAGCATCGATCGCTAAGTGATGCTAAATTCATTCCCGTCTCACCCTCTTCGACGCGTTCCTGTTTACGAACACGGGAGAGAACAGGGCTGTGGCACAGGATAGCTGTATCGCCGAGCACGTTATCGATGTCAGTATGCTCGCCAATAAATAACGGCAACGTAGACGGTCGTTTTCGGGGTGGCAGTCTTCGAGGTGCTGATTGCACATTATCGTAAGGGGATTTTCGTCCTCCGTAATTGTCCGGCGGTTCCGGTGGATTCTCGATCTGCAACAGGAACAACGAATTCACACACTCTATAATAATTGTTTCATTTTCTCATACCGTATTTAATTTTTAGAAAATATATGCGTTGAAAACCAGCTACCTCATATTAGAAAGCTCTCATAATAGAAGACTTTTCTCTAATAATATCTTTCATTTTTCTCATATTAAAAATATGCACCGTAATGCATGCAGATAAATATATTTTATCAATAGACTTCACAATCTTGCCTCTCTTTGATTTGGAATATTCCAATCGTTTACAATTAGCGAGCCTCACCAGATTGTATAAAATCATTATCAGCATAATGTATGGGGCCAAAAGATATGAACTTTACGTAATGTGATGATCAATCTTACCCCTTCTGGACTCGCACGATCTCCCAGTGGCTCGGATGGTGGTGGCGGAAATTCGATAGGAAATCTGGAGAGGCTTCTCTTGACACACGTCTCAGGTTCAGGGTTAATGCCGATATCGATCTTCTCGTATGACTCGGAGGAGTCGGAAGTGCTGTTGGGAATTTCCACGGGAATTCTGACGACACCGTCAGGAACGTTAGAGGAGCTGTCCATCCACCATGCCTTCTCCCCGGATTCGATGTGTCGGATTTTCTTAAGCGGCTTTGAGGAGTAAAAGCTCTCGTTATCGACGGGGTTCTCGGTACTTTGACTATCGGCAGGCCCCACCGGGATGACCTCGATGCCCTCCGGAACGTTCTCGGGATCGTCGCTCATCCACCACGCTCGTTCGCCGGACTGCTGGTGCCTGATGCGATTTCGTAGATCAACTGATCGAAAACTACCCCGACTGGACCCCCGTCTCGAAACAGAAGACACCGGCGAGGGTGATTTTTTCGCTTCGTCCGCTGCAACGTCGTCTAACCACCAGGCATGTTCTTCTGATCCTTGTCTCCAAATTTTAAGTTTATATTTTCCTGCCGACATATGCAAGAAATAAGATAACAAATGCAAGGTTTAAATAATACTTTTTAATTAAAAACTGAAAATTATAAAGAATTCAGAAGAAATTAATTGGTCGATAAAAACAATGAACAAAATTTAAATCTGTCGTTAACTAATCACATTTTTATATGTTCAAATATGTATAAATGTTATAAGGGTCTTGAATTAAGATATAACAATAATTTATATATATATAAATATATATTAAAGATTAACTTACCATCATCCGGTAAAGCTGTGCTAATCGTTGTGTCCTGACTGACATCATTATTCCAGGGACTAGCCCTTTGAATTCCCTCGGGAATGTTATCGGAATTCGGATCCAACCACCATGGTTTTTCCCCTGAAGACTGACGTTGAATCTTCGTATTTCCCCTTATTCCATCGCTTCTCTGGGAATTAGTGAAACTCGGACCTTTCGACAGATTCTGGCTGGCTGACCTCGAAGATGATAGCGGCTGTCCTGACCTGTTGCTGGCGTCGTGATTTTCCTCAAGGGAGTCAACCCAACCATCTGATTTACTTGTGTCATCGGAATCTTGACTCTTGTTCTTAAAAAAATTCGTCATTGGCGCCAGCGCTCTCATTAGAAAGGACTTGGCCTCTTCTGTCTTCGCGGAACGATCACTCTTAGATCTTAGATTAGAGGGTGGCCTAGGTGGTTTCTCCGTCATCATTGACATGTCATCGGCCGACGACGCCAGTACGCTTGTTCTCGACGATCCCGCACTGATTTTACCTGTCACATCGCGGGCGGGCGATTCCGACGTTCTCTTTCTTCTCCGTCTCGTCTTGTCCGTACGATCGTCATCATCCTCGCTGCTGGAGGAATTCGCAGAGGTCGACCGACTGCTGTTACTGGAGCTGAATGTCCCAGATGGCCTCTTTTTCGTTCCGCAAGGTGACTTTGACCCGCTCTTCTTTTCTTCCCACTTCATCGAACCATTCGAGCCATTTCTCCCAAGCGTTGGCTTTGATTCTCCCGACGGGATCCTGAACTTCGATCTACCTGACTTGGTTGAAGTCAAGGGTCCCGAAGAAACTGCCTGGGGAACGTGTTCCGATGTCGTCTCTGAATCCTGAGAGCCGGCGGAAATGTTTCTTTGGCCTTTCTTTCTTCTCGTGTACTTGGAGTCACCGTTCTCCATGTTCAAGGTCGACTTGCGGAAGTCCTTGTTCACGTACTTCGCTGCCACGGTGCACCTCGGCGTGGCGGCGGTCGTAGTTTCGTTCTTCGGTACAGGTGGTTTGCCGCGCGCGTCCGGCGAACCGCCTTGTCGTAGATTCACTGACGGCAGGATCGAACCGGTGGATGGTTTCCCGGACGATGGCGGCGTTGTCGTTTTTATTTTTATACCCTGACTCGTCACCGAACTAGCTGACGATGATTTCGATCTGCCAATTGGCATGCTTACAGAAGATCCGTCTGACGAGCCGGTTCGCGTCATTTGACGCGGTGTGTTCTTCATCGATACGTTCCGAGTTTGTGATGTCGATGCCAAGCGACTTTGCGAAGAACTGCTTTTAACGAAAAATATTCATTAACTCAAGACCACACTTCATCTTTTACTAAAGTACATTTTCTCTCTATAGCTTTCTTGTGCAATCAATTTTTACATCCCTTTAAAGATTATGAATCTCTTTCTCTTACAGATACACTACCTACTTCTTGCACAAGTTATTATAATTTATGCACAATTATTTTCTAAAAATTGTTACATATTTTATTAAGTATTTATTTGCAAAAATTATTAACTCTTAATTACACCGGCGGAATGCAAACGTACTCCACCGCACATGATTACGCAAATATTTCTTGCGCGTCACAGGCGACATTGCTGCACCTTCATGTATTCTCAGTGCCCGTCCGCATCTCGCAGCACGAGGATGCACGCCGTGGACAAGTGTGTATAAGCGGAGAAACCGTTTGTTCGGAGTACGTTTATGCGAGTGATTGTGATTCTTTTCTTATACTTCTTGACAGTTTAAGTTCTTATCTTTAGTAAAGACTCGAGTGGAAGACTGACGGAGATATGACTGATAAGGACAGTAGTCTAGATTACTGTTATTTATAAACAATTATCCTAAAGTTGACGTTGTCGAAAATTAGAAGAAAATCTTTATTTTTATTACTTATAATTTACATGTAAAATAACGTTATTTATGAAAAGATGCATTTGAATAAGCTGCAATTAATTTTGTTATATCCTTCGTTTGCTTTGTATACGTGCAAGTTAGTAAAAATCGGATTTACGTACCTCGCTGAGGAATCTCTTCTTTGCGAGACCTCACGCTTTTGAGAAATAACTTCCTCATTTTGGTCTTGACAATGCCCTTCGACAATTCGAAGAGGCTCTTCGGTTTTGGAAGAGGAGCTGGCATCGGATTTGGGAGTGGATCCTCTTCTTTCGCCGACGTCAGATTTCGATGATGCTATTTCAGTCTTCGGAGAAGATTTAGAAATTTTTACTTCACTCTTCGATGAAGTACGCTCCAGTCGCGGAATGGACGGTCTTCTTTGGTTGTATTCATCACATCTCGATGCATCCTGCGAATCCTGCGTTGGATCTTCTCTATGATAAAATCCAAGATTCTGATTGGAACTTCTTAAATTACTGGCGCTGGAGCTGTTTGTTTCAATCTTTCGCGCACTACAGCAACACCGTTCGCTGCTATGAATTCTATCCTCTTTATTTGCCCCATGAATATCTTGACCGCTAGACGATGTCTTCAAGTCATTAGACGCTGTCTCGTCAATAGTTGCTGTACAATTTACACCGAGCAGCTTCTCATTTTGGCCTCTGTTATCAGAACTATAAATTTCTTGACTGAAACTCGACAATTCCTTAGCAGAAGATTCATTTTTCGTAGCTTCATTCGTTCTGGTATACGCGAAATTGTTGAGTCTATTAGAAGAGGTCACATTAGTAAATCCTCTGGACGAATACACAGATGGACTTCCAGTTGATGCACCTGAGTATTTATCCAAGTACGTCGACCAGGATGCACCAGATAATCTATTGCTGCCATACCTCGAGAATCGTGATGTTTCTTCCATGTGATCACACTGTACTTCTTCATCCATAGTATCCGGCAATTTTCGAAATCTGATCACCTCTTTTTGATGAGCGACATTGATCTCCGCCCGCCTCTTTCTAACATAGGACGAGGAAGCTGGAGGTGTCGGTGAAGTACCTCTTGTCACAACCGTTAGCGTCACAAACTCGTTGTCCGAAAGTTTGTGGCTGGTTGCGTCCCCTTCTATTCGGTTTGTAATTTTTGGCAATTCGTGACCATCTTTCTCAGATTTAGTAAGTGCTGATTCTTCTTCTTCTTCTTCTTCTTCTTTCTGATTTGATTTATTATTCGAATTTCGATATCTTCCTCCTGCAGGATAGTTAATAGTCGCGGACACCCGTTCGCTGCTACTTCGCGACGAGAGAAATCGCGAACCAGCTGTCGAACTAAATCTCGTCGAGATTGTAGCCGAGCTCGATTCGGACGTGCCTAAAAAGTGTATTCCTTTTAACATTAGTTCCTCCTTGCACAAGATTCGAAATGTTCAGAATAATGATGATTAAAAATTTTACACAACTGTAGTACAGAACTAAGCATTGTTCACTATCAGATTAAACATAATTAAATATGCTTTTAGGGTTTACGTTTAAATTTTTTGCAAATGTAGCAAAAAATAGATTTGAAAATATTTGAATTAAAAAATTCAATATTTTATATATAGAGTAAAGTTCCCGTTATGAGATAGGCTTCTAATGTGAGATAGTAGGTTTGCAACGTCCAAATTCAATCACAAATCTTTTCTCGCTACGATTACACGATCTAACAATGAATTTTTCACTAAACAGATTTCACTTCAACAGCAATAAATTCATGGTGGAATCAACAGATAATGCTTGTTAATTTAACAGAAACCCTGCTATCTCATAGTAGGAACTTGTCTCATAACAGGGGACTTTCCTCTATCAATATGTGAGCAATAGCATATTTATTATAAAATCATATTTAAAAAAGATATCTTTTTTATATTTTCTAATTCATCATGCAATACATAATGAAACAGTCGCACTTACTAGGCGAGGCAGCTGAACGAGCGTAAGACGGCGCTCTTGAATAGACCCTGAAGGAATTCGTTTTTCCGACACTGACTTCCGGACTGGGCTCGCGCGATGTCTTTCCGGAATTGGGACGTAATCCTCTGTAGGAGACCGGCGGGTGGTCCTTTTCGATTCTACCATCGTTGCCGTAACTTCGGGCGAAATTCGATCCGGGATATGTGCTGGATCCGTACCTCGATATTCCTTCGGGCTCTCTGCTCTTTTCCCGCGAAGCCGGTCGGTTATATCTGTCCAACACGGAAGACGGCCTCTCCGATGTTTTGCCAGCTGAGAACGAGTACTTCTCAAGGAGAGACGACCTACTATCAGATAGCGGACTTTTCGCCCTCACGTCTTCGGACGACAATCTTCCGGGATGCAATCGACTTTTATCGGTGTCTTTAGTGCCTGATAATTTAAGACAAATTGTGACTATATACATATGCCACTTGGTTTGGAGAAATGTATGGCTATAGGCATTTTATGTTTACCATTATCAATCGTAATCATTTAGTTATATGAAGCTAAGTCTATACTGACGTTAACACGTGTAAACAAAATGTAATGTAACGCTAACATTGCACGCAAACTTATTTGTTTGTAATTTTTCAATAATTAATTAATTAATTAATTATTTTTCATGTATGTGTTCTATAACAGTTATGCAGAGGAAATATGCATAAATCACGACACATACAACGGAATGAATGCACAGATTATTACAAGTGAAACTGTTTACAAGAAAATATAAACCGAGTGTTTTACATACTATATCCATTAACTAAATCTAATAATTCTTAGGTATAAGTATATTATAAGATAAGTATATTTTCTTTAAATTGTGTAAATAATATACAAATAACATAGGTTACCAATATAAAATATCGTAAACGAATAAACATCTCTTACATGAATATTTGAATGTCGGTTTCTCCTCGAATTTGTCCTTTTTGAGAAAAGTGCCTCCAAAACCAGCGAGCGCCCGTTCCTTGGCAATAGCTCGAGCAGAACTCGATCCGACTCCGGAATAACTGCTTCTACAGCTTGGCAGGTTACTTCCACCGGAAGCATTCCTGCCGAATGTGCTGGTGATGCTGACGCCGGTTCTGCTTCGATACGCTCCTGTGTCACCCTGTAATCACAAATGAATAACATATACTGCCCAAATTTTTTGTTATTTTAGTTTTACAAATAAGATTATACAGTTTGCATTATTATATTAACTTTATTTTAACAGTCTATAAAATTTTTTTTCATTTAAATGATATTAAAATTTAATAAATGGTTTAAGCTCTACATTAGCGATATCTCACGATACATCATTGATGACTGCGCTGACAAGATTTATCAGTCACTTCTTGCATTTACAGTAACGAGAAGGGGTCGGACGTTAAGCCAATAAGACATTCACAAGAAATAAGAGCTGTGGGTGTTCCAGGATATTAAAGATAATGAGGATAATACGGATAATGCGAAAGTTTGCATTACCGAGAAGATGCATCTGATGAATGTCTTCATCAAGAACCTTTTTGCTCGATGAATAAATATAAATCCAATCTAATATATTATTACTCATAAACCAACGTAATAATATAAACACAAGCTAAACTAAATATTATCTCAAATTTCTGTATTACTGCTGTTACAACTAATGGCATAATTATCATTTGAATTTGATGCATTTGTTTGAAGACTAAAAAAATACAATATTAATATAAAGAGATACAATATTAAATAAATCTATGCAAAATCTTAATTTTCATTATTGCATGATTGAAATATATAACAGATAAGTTATTATTACTACATTTTAGTCCTTTATTGAAAACTTTCTGTTAATTGTTTGGATATCTAATTGAATAATATAATACAGATAGAAGGCAAAAAAATTAGGAGAACAATAAGTTATTTCTGCGAAGTTTGAAACAGGTCGTTAAATACATCATTTGAAATATGAAAATATAAAGTAATAATTCGTATAATTAATGTAAGCTTGGCAAAATGCCTTCAATCTCAAAATAGGCAGATCGACCTGGCAGAGAGTAATAACCTTTACATTTCTCGCTTGTACAACGGGTGGCGTAAATAAAGGTCTATATTTCTTCAAATTGAAGCAAATTGCAAATGTATTGGATTCTTGTAGTATTGTTATCACAAGTAGTGTAGAAGATAATTGTTTCTGGTTTCAATTTCACTTTCAATTAAGTTAAAAATAGCAAAAACCCGCGATAATGCACTTATAGAGAAACTTCCGACTTGTTTTCCGAACTGAATCTTCTAAAAAGACCGTTCATTATTATGCTAATGGTATTCGGTGAGATAATAGAATTACGACAGTCGTTCCTTAAGACCGCCAAAGCAATTCCTTGGAGCGGAAGCACTGTAAGACGTCGGAAACGATAAGTCCTTTCATCACGTTATATCCAACCCCATTATCATGTTTACGCTGATTTAAAGTACAAGAGACAATGACGCGTTTTCATTCCAAAAATAAATTTAATTGTCTATTATATAAAACACGAACATTTTGCAAAGAAATTTACGTTTAAAGTGACAATTATAAATACAATAAAAACATAATGGCACAAATGACACAAGAATTATTGTATAGTGCATATTAACTAGAATATTTTAAAATGTATACAGAAAACTGGCTAATAATGCATAGATTTTTCAAATATTAATTACTAAATAATAAATTGAAATTTACAAAATATTTATTCTATAAGTATTAAAATTTCGGAACTTGCAAATGTAATTTTAATACTTCTTTAAAACGCTGCCATTTATAAATTATTGATTAATGTTTAATGTATGTCGTAACCACATTATACCGATATCTTTCTATTTCAATTTGAGTTGTCAAAGAAATTTCTGGCATTGGTCCATGATGCTTTTAGATTTATTTAGAGCTTTGCCAGAAAATTATCTATGTGTGTTACCATACCCATTATCAGATTTTACAACTCCGGCAGAAATTACACAAAATAAAGGAATATCTAATATAAAATCTTTCACGATTCTCTCAAAAATATTTTACTTTTTAATTACTTTTTTATTTAAAAATGTTTGTGATGTGTTTTAATTTGCTTTATGTAAAAACATAACGAATATTAAAATTCTTTTTTAAAGGTACGTTTTTACATAAAATTAAATTATACCATATTGAAAAATAAATTAATATGATAGTACGACAAAAAATTTCTATATTAGGTATATATATTATTTGTATTTTTAACCGCTATTTTTGTCCATAAATATACATATTTTAGACAATATAACACTAGTCGTTCGAGCATATGTATAGCATGACCTGTTCTTGCAATTCAATTTTCGATCGAACGATCCTTGAGTCCTGCCTTGTTCTGACAGCTAAAATAGCTCGTACGGACAGCTTACTCGTTGCGGCGAGATTGACTAGAATTTGACAAACTATTAGTGGTTGATCCGCAAAACTCACTTCTCTGGTTCGGACTTATTGAACTACAATACAATCACGCGAATAGATTTTGTAAAATACAAGTTAAACAAAATTGTTCATATTGTCTATGCATACAAATAAGCATAACAAAACCAATTGCTTTCGTGGTTTTTCATTAAAATCTTACTATGACAAATGCATAGTAAACTTTTGATACAATGTTATTGACAAAATGTTCAACCATATAGTATATAAGATTTTGATGTACAAATATTCTTGCAGCTTTATTTCATCACAATGTGTCTTCGAATTGAACAACTCAATCGAGCAAGTCTTCCGATATTGCTTTATCGTCCATAAAAATGGCTGTTTACGATGCTCCTTTCACAGTCAGGAACTGCCATAGGTTGCCAGATAAATTACCGTCTTGTTTCCATCGTGGAAGCAAGCGGCCTCGTTATGCGTATTTCCACCGATCCTTTTTTTCTGTACATGGTGTACAAAGCAGTAATAGAATTTATTTGTACTTCATCCTTTTATCGATGAGACTGAGAATAATCGCAGCAGAGAAAATGTTGCAAACGTACACAACTTTTCATTTGTAGCAGTTTCTTATGTATTTGTGAAAATTTATACCGAAATAACAATCCGCCGTAATACTTGTTTTAAATTAACTGTTGCATTGTTAAAGAAATAGGATAATACTGTAGTAAAAGTGTATTCAACAAATCATTTTTCGAAGTATAAAGTATAAAAGTAACTTCGTAGTAATACTCTGTTGGCTATCATTGAAGAAATTGCTTTTACAAGAAGTGCGTAATAATTTTTTATTTTGTAAAAATTGCATGCGTTTTAAATACACTTGACTGACAAAAAGTTCAGTTGAAAAGAGTTTTGTGTGTTTGTAAGATATAAAATGTGTACCTTCTCTTTTATATATCACATGCTTTAGTCGCCTCAAGGATCGACTGTTTACGGAAGAATTTTAACTGGAATATGAAACATACATTAATACTGACGCGCATTTATACAAAGACTTTTACGCCGTATGCGCGATGAAAACTGTACCGCATTGCAAAATCTGTGCCCGACCATTGTGCAGAAATACACAACGCGGAATATCCGTCTACACTCGGCTCGAAAATTTCCGAGTTTACGTGAATACGAGCGCGAGAGAAACGGCCGTTCAGCCATCTGGAAGCCCGACGCGATATCGCACCATCGCATACGGACGAGTACGTATACGCGCAATTGCGTATTACATGGAATATACGAGAGTAACAATGTCACGATATGTTGATATTTGCGTTTACTTCTATCCGTATGCATAGTATTGATCGTTAAATGTTATCATTCTCGCGCGTTATACCTTCTCGTCTCGACACTCGAGAGTCAAGTCAGAATATATTCTCACGAAGAGTTGAAAAGGCGATTTCTTACATTTTTTAGCTTCTTTAACATTTTAATATAAATAATATTTGCATATGTCTAGTAAAATGCAAGTGAATGTAAATAAAATAAGAAAAATAGTAAAATAGAGAAAGCAACCCCTCTCCCATTGTATTAGAAAAACCAAGTTGAAGAGCAGTCGTATAAAATAAACAATTCACGTTAAACAGAGTGCACATTTTTAATTAGACTTGACTGATTTTTTAATCGTGTTTTTTCATAAAAAATTTGAAAGAAATGTTTTTCCATATTTAGGTTTAACGATGAGTAAATATGTTGATTGTTTAATATTAAATACAGATTGTCATACAAACGTAGCTATTCTGTGTGCCCAGTTACTTACAAGGAACTACACGAAGAGTTAGTTTTTAAAAATATTGCCCATATATTTGAATCAGATGTATAATAAATACAAATGCAATGTAATTTTCTATTCTAGTAAGATTTTCAAAGCCGGAGTTTTACGCTGCTTTGAACATAAGTGGCTCAAATGTGTGAGCATGTGAGTTGCGAATGTCGTAGGTCTTTTCTTCCCGTGACTTGGCACGTTATTGCTTCAAGTGCTGCACTTGTTTAAAAGAAGTATTGAGGCTCACGAAAGACTAAACGTTTTATTCGCGATGATGCGGTACATTCTCGATGACACTGATGAGGATGTGGGCGACCGATGCATCGCGATACCAGCTTGAGGGGAGGCCAGATAATTGAAGAGTGTCAGCCTGATTTAACCTCCGGCGACTCGGTGCATTATTATAATTTATGACGCACGACCAGCTGTCACGAGCTCGATAGGACGAAAATGTTGCTTAATTGTATTCTTAACTTGTATTCTTAAATAGTCGAAGTGTCATCTTTCTGGGCCCGCTATAAATGATTTGAATTCTTCCATACTATCTTGACCAATAAAATAATTTTATTTTTTATAGGAGTTATATTAAATTTTTCAGATTGCCAAGTTTAATCTTTTCATATAATAAAATACAGAGTTCGACCAAATATTGTATTATATTTCCGAATACTTGATGGCAATATGTATATTTATATGTTTCGTTTTTAATTTTAATATAGTTTTAACACGTTCATATCAATATTGGTTATTTTTACGAATAAATTTACAACTTTGCAATTATCGCATGAATTATTTAATGGAGAAACTGACTTCGCCATAAGAGAACATGTAGTTTTCATTAGTTATCGCACGAGAAAGCAAATTAGGTTGCTGTTCACGACGACGGTCTGTTATTTTACGATTCGCACATTGG